TGTAGTAACAAAAACTTAACCTATGACAAATTAATATTATACCTTCTCAGAGTAATTACACGGAGAAATATGGTGAAGGGCTGGCCCTTAAAAAAATTACTTCCAATCTACTTTGAGAAGTTGTCAAAATAGTCTTTTTAAAAAAGTTTTGCTTTGTTTTTGATAAATCTTTATATATATATATATATATTTTTTTTTTGGCTCAAGCTATTAAATATTGACGTTTTTAATAATCATTCATTTGTTTTGATAAATCATCAAGTTAATTTGTTTTTTGGGACTTTTTTTAAAATTAAAAAAAATTAAAAGGTGGGACGTTTAGTGAAAATATACTTTAAAAAGCCCACTTTCACATGCATAGATAATTAAAGGATACATTTATTTTAATATTATTAGGATTTATCTTGAGTTTAGATTTATCATTTATTTTAATTTTGAATCTTTAGTTTATCATTATCATTTATTTTTTAAATTAACTCTAGTTCTATTAGGATTATAGTTTTAGTTCTATTAGTATTCAAACAAATAAAAACCTATAAATTATGTACTTTTATGGCATTCATTCAATAAATATTCATAAATTCTTTTTTTTCTTCTTTAAAAAGAAATTTAGTTTGGTCTTCTAACTCAGTCACTGTTCTATCTATTTTTGAGTCTATTGAATTTATGAAAACAGACAATTCAAAAGAAGAATAAATAGAAAAAATTACGTCTACTTACTTTTGGATTGTCTATTTTCAAACATTAAATAGAACTCGTGATTTGAGGCGCCGGAGCGGCGGCGGCCGAGGAGGCAGAGAACTGCACCCGGTAGGTGGGACATACCCTTTGGCCGAGCAGGGCGTGGCTGATTCACTATTATGCGCGTTCTTAGGCAAACCAGAGGCGTTTGACGAAATGCCCGACGGCGAGGCCAAAACGGAGTTGCAGGGCCGGTGCCGCGGCGGCCGAGGAGGCAGAGAACTGCACCCGGTAGGCGGGACAGAGCCTTTGGCCGAGCAGGGCGTGGCCGATTCACTGTTAGGCGCGTTCTTGGCCGACCTAAAGGCGTTCGATGAAATGCCCGAGCCCGAGGACACAGCTTCTTGGGCCGAGGCCGAGGCCGGAGCCGGAGCGGAGTGAGGAGAGGATTGAACTGGAAGAAAAGTGGAAAGAGTAGGGGACGCAGCGGCGAAGGAAAGGATAAGCACTGGTGGTGGTAGCAGAGTCGTCAAGACACAGCTTCTTGGGCTTTGGTTGTTGGGAGTTGATGGAGGTCAGAGAAGGCCGTTTGTGGGAATTGCCGTCGCCGAAAGAGCCGTATTGACGGGGAGAGTCGAGGCGGAGGACCGACAAATCCGGGAGGTCCGTGGAGTATTCTGGAGGAGCTTCAAAAGGCTTTTGTGCTGCCATTGCCATTGTTATCAAAGTTTCTTTCTTTCTCTGGTTTTGTTCTTCTCTCTCTGTTTTTTTTTTCCGTCTTTCTCTGTTTTTCTGTGTGGTTGATGAAAATAGCGAGTCAATGTGAAGAAACGGTGGAGAGGGGTTTATATAGAGGAATGAAAGAGAAAGCAATGATCTTTGAATTCCTGAATATCCCTGGACATTGATTTGGTGGAGAGGGGTCATGAGGTGACGTGGCATGGCAGATTGATTTGATTTAAAATTTATGATTAATTTCAGAAATATTTCCGAATATTGTATGTTTATGCAACATGTTCTTACCTTTCAATTCTCAATTCGTTGAGTTTTTAATTTGAGTTAAAATGTGATTTTATATGAGAATTTTTTATTATAATAAAAAAGTTACATGTGTTTCTGAGACTTTTTTGCTGTAGCAAAACTCAAACTCTAAACTCGAATCGGTAAAATGAACGAGACGTGACAAAACTCAAATTTTAAATTCGAATCGGTAAAATAAATAAGACCTAAAAAGTTGATCGGACCTAATTCAAAACACTCCCTTAATTAATGTTATTTCATAAATCATGGTGAATCACTGATTTTATATCACCTTTTAAAAAATTAGGGAGTAAATTGATATAAAAATAAAAATTTAGGTGTCACTTGAATTAAAATTAATATTTTAAGGATTTTTATATTTCTCTAAATCAAAGCTCAACTAATAATATCTTTTAAGCATTTAGTAAGATCTTCTCCACAATTGATGACTTGGATTGTTTATCATATCTTGTACATGTAGATGAAAATTTAGAAAAGATGCAAATGATCAAAGAGCCAAAACAATACAACAACAATTTGAACATCATACGTAACCAATACATCTGTTCTGCTATATTGCATCTCTCTACATCGACGTGTATGCTCACGTACCAAATCCAAAAATTCTCAAACTAATCTACATTACTCTATAATAACATTACCACTACATAGAAAAAAGTTGGAATGTCAGAAGTTGAAGTGAATCACCATCTACACATCAAGAATTCAAAGATCATTGCTTTCTCTTTCACCCGTCTATATAAACCCGTCTCCACACAGGGAGAGACAAACACTTTCTTGGGAGAGAACAAAAGAGGCAAAAAAAATAAATAAATAAAATAAAACAGAGAGAAAAATAAAACCAGAAAGAAGAACGAAACTTTGATAACAATGGCAGTACATCACGATCAACAGCTTGCTCAGAAACAAGAAGTGATACAGCAAAAGCCTTTCGAAGCTCCTCCAGAATACTCCACGGACCTCCCGGATTTGTCGGTCCTCCGCCTCGACTCTCGCTGTCAACACGGCTCTTCCGGCGACAGCAATTCCCACAAACGGCCTTCTCTGACCTCCATCAACTCCCAACAACCAAAGCCCAAGATGCTGTGTCTTGACGACTCGATCGGCTTTCCGTGGAGTATTCTGGAGGAGCTTCGAAAGGCTTTTTGCTGTATCAACTGTTGATCGTGATGTACTGCATTATTATCAAAGTTTCTTTCTTTCTTTCTGATTTTGTTTTTCTCTCTCTGTCTCTCTTTTTTTTTTTTTTTTTTTTTTTTTTTTTTTTTTTTTTTCTCCGAAAGTGTTCGTCTCTCTCTGTGTTTTCTGTGTGGTTGATGAAAATAGCGAGTCAATGTGAAAAAATGGTGGAAAGGGGTTTATATAGAGGGATGAAAGAGAAAGCAATGATCTTTGAATTCTTGATGTGTAGATAGTGATTCACTTCTACTTCTGATATTGTAGGAAAAAAAAAAAAAAATCTGGCTGGTTTTGCTTATCCACCATTGGATCATGGATCAATTATTGTGTTAAACATTTGGCTGGTTTTGCTTATCCGCCCTTGGATTATGGATCAATTGTTGTGTTAAACATTTGGCTAGTTTTGCTTATCCACCATTGGATTATGGATTATGTCGTCTTCGAAAGGCTTTTTTTTTTCCTACAATATCAGAAGTAGAAGTGAATTACTATCTACACATAGCAGGTCCTACCATAGCGGGTCCTATTTAGGGTCCGCTTAGAAATTGTAATTAAACCATGATTCGGGTTTTGATTTAAATTTTTTGTGAGAGAATTATTTATTAGAATTATTTATTTAAATTCTTTTGAGAAAAAAAAAGCAGCAGAATCATGGTTTGAATTTTCGGTATTTGTACCAATCAACTCCTTAATAATATCATGGACAATTTGAATCTAAATTAGATGGACGAACAAGTTGACTATACGAGGTAGTAGTCAGTGAGACTTTTTTGTTTCTCGATTTTGTCTTTGTTCATTACAGAAAAACTACTCACCTCATTTTATTCACGGCCTGATTCATGTTGTAAAGAAAGAAGAAAGAACTATATTTTATTTTCTTTGTATTTTTTACATTTGTCCCCGAATTTATCCTGAATAACATATCCCTTAAACTTTTAATTTAAAAAATTTATCAATAAATTCAAAAAATTATTATAATTGTGTCCCATTTTTATGACGAAAAAGTATATTTTCTACAAAAACTTCAAACATTATAATTCAAACCGTAATACAAGTTGCTCAATTTCCTGACTCCCAATTCCTTAATTTTTTTTTTCATTTTTTTGGGGAACAAACTCAAGATCTTAATTTTGTTGTTGGGGTTTACATGGATTTGGTACATATATATATATATATATATATATGCATAAATGCAAATAAATAAAAGTG